ATATATTTATCTTAAATACGATTGCACTGAATAAAAGATATAGAATTTGTGAACAAGTTCTCCCCTCAGTCTTAGAATTATTCACTCCTTGAAGTAACATGAAGTGTAGCTATTGAAAATAAACTGGTTGTTGCTTTGCAGAGCCCTGATGCCTATGTTTATTATGTATGATCAGAAAGTTTACTACATCAGCATTTGAAGGAGTTTTAATGTAACATGTCACATGGTGTCACATTGCACAGCTCTAGAAATCACATACACAAACATAGTCCTTATGACATCAAGTCTACCTGAATTTTTCATAGGCAAAAAAAAATGGTGTAGTTAGTATATACTAATTAAATTTGTTTGTGCTAAATTTGAGATATTCTGAGTTTTAAAATATTCTGAATAAGATGAGCTCATTTTGCCGCTCAACGATGAGAGAAGCAATTAAATAATCAAATCAGCCTCTAGTTTCAAAAACAAAATGCTATCCATTCATTCTTTTATGACAGTTTATTGTTATCTCTTAAGAATGTTACTTTCTGCCAAGAATGACTTCTTGCCTTATAGCTACCTGAAGAGCATAATGGAAGGGTAAAGAATTAATTAAGGGTAAAGAATTTCTGATTGTGAAATTGGTAATGTGTGTGAAATTTTAAGCCATCTCGCAGATGTTGTATTGCTTTTGAGGCATAATCTTCATCTCAGACATCAAATAATGACTACCTGTTATCTATTACAATCTGCTTGCATAATCAGAAAGCAGTCTGATCTCCTGTGATTGGGCCATTCAAGCAATTGACAGACTTGTTTCCAAAAAAGTAAATTGTGCCAGCCAAATGAGAGAGTACAGTAAATAAGGACTCAAGCAGGTGCTTAATGGTAGGTACTTTTAAAACATCCCCAGAAGTTTTGGTGTAAGTGTGTTGCTTGTGCTCGTTGTTGGTATGACGTTTACTCTCTTTCAGTATTTACAAAGCAATACATTATATAGATGAACATTATTGTTTCCTGCCTTACAATTTGCTGTGTGGTTGAACAAATTGAGGTGGCTTAGAATGTGGAATTAATGCAAAAAGGTTTGTTGATCCGACCCAGCCCTAGTCAAAGTACAAAAATTGGTATCGTTTTGAATTTAATCTTCCTGCAGAATTTTAAATAGTAAATGAGATGAGCTAGAAACTTACTTTGCTCAGAAGTAATGAGAAGCATTCCCAAATCTCAGACGTTAGAGTCATCAGATAATTTCAGCAATATTCTCCCCTCCCACACGCGCGCACACATGCTGAATAACAAGGGATTCTAATAGGTGTTCTTCAGTAATTGATTTGTTGCTTGTCTGTTCGCTAGGAAAGTCAGATGAAGATCAGAATGACAATATTTATAGGTTGCATGTCATCTGCGGAATGTAATCCATCTTCGTTAAATTCAGTAAAAGTGATAGATGGCGTTTGGCAACGTAATGATGTGATCGCTCTACCATTGCCTTTCTAAATCATAAGCTGTTGCTTTCTGTTGTGTAGATATTTAATCAGTTATACACACCATTACTGATTTAATTCAGAATGTCAGTGGCAGGTGAATAATGTGAGGATTTGTATATTAATATCATATTGTATTAATGTTCCCTTCATTTAAGTGTGCTATTCATTTGAAAATCATAAACTGTTGCTTCATGGGTAGAATAAATTTAACCAGTGCTGTGGGCATCTAATGCTATCAATGTTTTAATTTAATGTGTCAGTGAAAGAAATGCATTTCTTTTCATTTCCAGTTTCTCTGTGCTTTACTAACTCAAAACAGTATAAGGTAGTGTGAATATATGAAACTGGTAGTAAACAACAAATCCCCTGATTTTCATCCTATTGAAAGATTTTGTGTTTGACTCCCCAAATTGCAGTGTTCCGTGAACTAACTAAATATTTTCTCGCATATTTCAAAATGAGTGAATAACTGCTAACAAATTACTTTCAACAGAAAATATGGTTGTGCTATGGAATAAACCTTAAAATGTGTATGGTAAATTACTGTAATATAGCACAAATTCATTACAGTCTTGTAATGGCTAATCATTATAACACCAGTGTTCCTGATAATTTCAAAGTGGAGTTGAAGGTTTTAGTTTTAACATGCAAAGCATTAAATGGTTTGGGATCTGACTGATCCATAGACAAAATGTCTCCCCATGTGATACTGGCAATGCCAGTGTATCAAATCATTTCCTCTGGGTCAGTCCCAACATTATAATATTGACTTACTTGAATTTTGGGCTGCTATCTATATCCTAAAGATGAAAGAATAATCATAGAATTATAGAAGATTAGGGTTGGAAGAGACCTCAGGAGGTCATCTAATCCAACCCCCTGCTCAAAGCAGGACCAACCCCAACTAAATCATCCCAGCCAGGGCTTGTGAAACTGGGCCTTAAAAACCTCTAATGATGGAGATTCAACCACCTCTCGACATAACCCATTCCAGTGGTTCACCACCCTCCTAATGAAATAATTTTTCCTAATATCCAACCTAGACATCCCCCACTACAACTTGAGACAATTGCTCCTTGTTCTGTCATCTGCCACCACTGAGAACAGCTTAGCTCCATCCTCTTTGGAACCCCTCTTCAGGTAGTTGAAGGCTGCTATCAAAAATAGATCTATAAGAACATAAGAAAGGCCATACTGCTCAGACCAATGGTTCATCTAGCCCAGTATTCTGTTTCCAGCACTGGCCAGTGCCAGACGCTTCAGAGGGAATTGACATAACAGGACAATTATCAAGGATCCATCCCCTGTCATCCAGTCCCAGCTTCTGGCAGTTAGAGGTTTAGGGACAGAACATGGCTCTAGGCTTGCATTCATGGCCATCTTGTCTAATAGCCATTGATGGACCTTTCCTCCACAAACTTATTTTATTTTTAACCCAATTATACTTTTGGCCTTCACAACATCGCCCGGCAACAAGTTCCATAGGTTGATGGTGTATTGTGTGAAGAAGGACCTCCTTATGCTTGTTTTAACCCTGCTGCCTATTAATCTCATTGGGTGACCTCTGTTTCTTGTATTATGTGAAGGGGTAAACAATGCTTCTTTATTCACATTCTCCAAACCATTTGTGATATTATCGACCTCTATCTTATCCCTCCATAGTTGTCTCTTTTCTAAGCTGAACAGTCACAGTCTTTTAATCGTTCCTCATATGGAAGCTATTCCCTACCCTTGATGATTTTGTTGCCCTTCCCTGTACTTTTTCCAATTCTAATATATCTATTTTGAGATGGGGTGACCCAAACTGCATGCAGTATTCAAGGTGTGGGTGTACCAGAGATTTACTTGGTGACATTATGACATTTTTGTTTCTTATTATCTATCCCTTTCTTAATGGTTCCTAACATTCTGCTAGGTTTTTTGACTGATGTGGTGTATGTTGAGCAGATGTTTTCTGAAAACTACCCATGATGATGCAACATCTCTTTCTTGAGTGGTAACAGCTAATTTAGACCTCGTTTTGTATGTATAGTTGGGATTATGTTTTCCAATGTGCATTACTTTGAACTTATCAACATTGAATTTCCTCTGTCAAATTTTTGCCCAGTTACTCAATTTTGTGAGATCCCTTTGTAACTATTCACAATCAACTTTGCACTTAACTATCTTGAGTAATTTTGTATCATCAGCAAATGTTACTTCCTCACTGTTTACTCCCTTTTCGGGATAATTTATGAATACGTTGAACAGTATAGATCCTTGGGGGACCCCACTATTTACCTCTCCCCACTGTGAAAACTGACCATTTATTCTCATTTATCCTTTGTTTCCTGTCTTTTAACCAGTTACTGATCCATGAAAGGACCTTCCATCATATCTCATAACTGCTTACTTTGCTTAAGAGCCTTTTTGTATAGATCCTTGTCAAAGGCTTTCTGAAAGTCCAAGTATACTATATCAACTGGATCATCCTTGTCCACATGCCTGTTGACACCCTCAGAGAATTCTAATAGAAATCTGAGGCATGATTTCCCTTTACAAAAGCGACAATGACTCTTCCCCAACATATATTGTTCATCTATGTGTCTGATAATTCTGTTCTTGACTATAGTTTCAACAACTTTGCTTGGTACTGAATATAGGCTTTCTGGCCTGTAACTGCCAGGATTACCTCTAGAGACTTTTGAAAAAATATTGAATGAATAAGTGAAAGTGACACATTCATAGCAAATACTGTTTTGTTGCCTTGTGTTTATGAACTACTGTAGATAAAGTAAATGAACTTACTTTGATGAATGTCTATTCTCTATATATTTCTTGTAGCATGAAAATAATACCCTCCCCAATGCAAAATATAAACAATAATAATCAAGATAATAAATACTGCATATTATAAAATGAACCATTGAAGAAAAATCTAGAAATGTAATATGTTGCATCTAACTTTCTGCCTAAATCTGTTTTTTGTGTTAAATACTAAATAGATAAAGCAATCAGAGTATCCGTTATGTTGCCTTAGTGATTGGGAACACAATAGTAAGAAATAATTACTGCAGTTTCTGCCAGTGTCACTTTTATTTATTGGAATTGGTAGTTTGCAATTTATCTTTTCTTGACAGTATTAAAGGTATTCCTTAGCTGGCTATTAATTTCATTTGCTTTTGTTTCTTCCTCATATTTTTCATGTAGGATGATAGAGCACATATATATGAGCTTACTGACAACATTTTTAGTTTGAAAGTTACTAACGTAAGATAAGAGAGGAATGACCGTGTAGAGGGGGGAAATTATCTTCTGTTTAACACACTATAGTGGGACACAAGAAATCTGGATTTCAAGCCCAGCTCCACCTAAGTTACATCATTTAATTTCTCTGGATCTCAATGTGTGACGTTGGAATACAAAAAGTGGAAAATGTGAAGAGCTAAAACATCTGAACCACCGTGTTATTCAACAAGTACTATTTAGAAAAAAAATCCCCTTCTTTGCTAGCAAGAAGTAATTTATTTTCTTTGTAACTGTCTTTATCAGATGTAGGTTCTGTGGAAGGACTTGCCTATCATAGAGCTTGGGATACTCTCTATTGGACCAGCTCTACTACATCATCTATCACAAGACATACAGTTGACCAGAAACGACGAGGAGCTTTCAACAGGGAAGCAGTAATAACAATGTCTGAAGATGATCATCCACATGTATTAGCTCTTGATGAATGCCAAAAGTATGTACCACATCTGTATTGCTGGTTTTTGAATTTTCAAAAGTGCTGAGCATCGAGCATCTCCCGTTCATGTAAGTGAAAACTGTGGTACTCAGCACTTTTGACGATCAGGCAGATGCCTAAATATAGTTTCAGGAGCCAAATTTCATGCTTTTATTTTTGAAAAAATTTCCAGAAATCCTAAAATGTCTCATTTAATGCAAATAATCTTTTAGATAGAAGATCATGCTCAAATGTTTTTGTATTATGCTTCACCAAAAACCCTTCAAGCTGATGTTTGAAAAAATAAGAAAACCTGCCTGAAATATTTATGGTAGAACAGAAAGGATAAGTATTCTCCATTGAGCTGTTCGCTTCTGTAATATACAGTTCAAATTTCTTAAGTAAAAGCTGGAAATACAAATATTTTACAGTCTTATAATAAAACTTCAGTTTCTTGTCTTACTAGTACATGTGCCCATGTAAATGTCCTAGTCAAAGGGCAAATGGATGCCTAAATTTAGATTTGTAAAGGTAGAATTTTAAAAAATCGCTGTGTCTTAGGAGGGCATGTACCATTGAGAGTCAAGTCGATACATATATAATTGAACTTCTCTTATGGCACATTAAAACTTAAGTCATTTCAGTCAGTAATCTAGCATAGACTCTGAAGTAACTTTATGTAAATTGGGAGGTATCTTCTTCTTGTGAAATGTACATCATCCACTAAAGTCTGAGTAAGCAGACCCTAGACACCCCATTTGCGTTATTTCAGCATCTACTCTCCTTGTAGCATGTCTCTCACTACAGGGCATAAGTGACGTGGGGAGGGCCTTGTGTAGATGAATTTTCTCTGGTTTAGAAAAAAAACAGGTGACAAAATTGAGGATAAAAACTCAAAAGATTTGTGGGAAGACAAAAAGTCCATGCTTGCATATGAGTCAAGGATCTATTATAATTTGAAAATTATTGACTGTCATACTTGTTTTCCATTGTTAGAAATAATTGATTCGCATAATTTGGAGAACAGCGCACTACTTAAAATATTAGATCATAAGAATCACAGATCACTCATTAAAACAGGATAAACTGCAATAATTGATCTTTATTATAATTGAAAATACTATATAAACTATAACTATAACTATATTTGAAGGTACATGTTTTTCATATTCTTAATTTATAAGTAGAACTAACATAGGAAGTAAAATAAAAAGTTTAGCTTAAAGCTTTTTATTATTATTTTGATGTTAATACAGTTTAATGTTTTGGACTAACTGGAATGAGCAGCATCCAAGCATCATGAGATCTACCCTTTCTGGGAAAAATGCACAGGTTATTATCAGTACTGATATTCTCACACCAAATGGACTTACCATTGATCACAGTGCAGAGAAACTCTACTTTTCAGATGGCAGCCTGGGAAAAATAGAGAGGTGTGAATATGATGGGTCACAGAGATACGTAAGTAAAACAAATAAAATATTGATATATGGAATTATATATATATGGTTGTACTTTTTGGATAGTCTCTTTAAATCAACCAAAGTTTAAATTTACCAAATCAGGGTCTTGTGTATCTGCCTGTAGATTAATGAATGAGTAATTCTCCATTAGTTCTTATTCGTAAACAAAATGACTAAATTGAATCATAGGACTGGAAAGGACCTCGATAAATCTAGTCCAGTCCTCTGCAGTGAGGCAGGACTAAGTATTATCTAGATCATACGTGACAGGTGTTTTTCTAATATGTTCTTAAAAACCTCCAATGACAGAGATTCCACAGTTTCCCTAGGTAATTTGTTCCCATGCTTAACTATCCTTCCAGTTCGGAAGATTTTCCTAATGTCTAACCTAAATCTCCTTGCTGCAATTTAATCTCCTTGCTACTTCTCATCATGTCCTCAGTGGGTAAGGAGAACAATTGATCACTCTCCTCTTTATAACAACCTTTTACATACTTGAAGACTGTTATCATGCCCCCACTTAGTTTTCTCTTCTCCAAACCAAACAAACCCAATTTTTCCAATCTTTCCTCATAGATCATGTTGTCTAGACCTTTAGTCATTCTGACTGCTCTCCATTGGACTCATCAGTGCTGAACAGAGTGGAAGAATTTTCATATGTCTTGCTTACAACACTGCTAATACATCCCAGAATGATGTTTGCTTTTTTTGCAACAGTATTACATTGTTGACTCATATTTAGTTTGTGATCCACTATAGCCCCAGATCCTTTACTGCAGTACTCCTTCTTAAGTAGTCCTTTCTCATTTTGTATTTGTGCAGTTGATTATTCTCTCCCTAACCCTAACTCTAATCCTGTCCTCCAAAGTGCTTGAAACCCCTCCCAACTTGGTACCATCCACAGACTTTATAAGTGTACTCTCTGTGTCATTATCCAAATCATGTATGCATGGATTTTTCTAAATGTAGGTGTTCATGTTTCAGATTCTATGTTTAAAAGGAATTATTTTCATATGTAAATACTATGAAACAAGTAAAACATTCCTCTGCTAAAGCACAATGGCTGATTTCCTCAGATACAGTGCTATGTATCACTTCTCATTCTGATATGTCTATTATAAGTTATAGTTGGTTATATAGAAATTTGACTGTAACTTGACTCCTTTGGCAGCTGAATGAGGTTGTTTTGTTTTTTTAGAAATATTGAGGAAAAGTCCATTCAGCTATTTTAGATTTATTGGAGATTGGAAAAAAAATAAAACAAAATCCCTTTTAATCTTTTATGGTATTTCTGACCCAGAAAGACTTTAGAAATGAGTGGGGTGGGGGTTGGGGTGGAGGGAAAGCATACCTCAAAACTGTCTGGAAATAGTCCTTACTGCGTAATAGACTGCTAGGTTTGCAGAACATTTTAAATTTAAAAATATTATAAGTATTGAAATATCACATGGGTCTAGGTATCTGCTAAGATTTTAACAGAGCCTGATGTATCCCTACCTTGTTGTTTGTTACATCACAGTGCAAATGAGAAATGTAAATGTGTCATTAAAGCACACAGCAGTCTTCCAAAAATGCAAATTATATTTCTGTCTTTTTATGTTGCCTTCATGTGTTGCTTTTTCAGACATGCTGCCTTGTGAATCCAGCTTTGAAGACAAACGCAGCAGCTAAACAATAACAATAAGAGTGGGAACTCTCTTCTCCCTGCCACCCAATTTGTTTCAATGAACCATGTGCTAGTTTGGACCACTTGCAGACTAGCATAAATAGACAGCTGCATCTTTCAAAAAAAAATTGAATGCAAAAAATCCCCCCAAAAAACAAAAACCCTCCGCCCCCCATAAAAATTTGCTTTTGTTATTGTAACACTTAACTTTACATATTTCAAAACTAAATGTTCAGGAAATGCAAAAGCTCTAAATTTATCCGGTAACATTAACTCAGCTACAATGCATATATATTTTTGTTTATTAATTAGACTATTTAAATGTAAATATACATCCTATACCAGAACTTGGCCACCTTTCAGTTTTTCTTATGCTTCTCTGGAGGTGCAAAGTATCCAGAAAGTCTGCGGGTGGAGAGAGATGGAGACGGCTCACAGAACCTAGCACACTTGTGTCTGTGGCATCGCTGCATCCAGTAATCCCTGGTTGTGGGTAGACAGTGGATAACCAGCATTGAGCACATCATTTAGAGATGTACTCTACTTTACCTCAGGAACTTGCATTTCCCACCCCAAGTTGTGCTCAGCACAGCTAGGACACAGACCAGGATTGGGGCTCCCATGTACATAATGTTACTGTGAAAACCTTTATTTTTGCATTTTCTAACATCTTTTGTGTTTAAGTGTGTCACCCTAATGTTGTATTAACATAGGGCTCAATTTTATTACTCTTTTACTCACATTGGAATATACCGTGCTCCATGAGCACTGGCATTAGTTTCAGTGGTATTAGTTGAATCAGGTACTACTAGCATGAATAAGAGTGGGTGACCTGTGTCCATAGTTTATTTTTTTTTTAGTTCTGTATCTTGTATATTAGATACATTCTTTATTTCTGGGATATTAAAGGTGAGCCTAGCCCCACCAGAAGTGCTTGAACTGGAAGGTAAGTGTTTGTGTACCCCTCAGAAGTTATGGTATGCTCCAGCTTTTTTCAGTTTACAGCTGGCAGAAGAAGTGAGGTAGAGAGGTTTGGTATCATCACCAATACGCTCCTCCTCATTTCCAGCACTGCCCAACATTAAAAAAAAAGCTTATGCCCAAATAAATCTGTTAGTCTTTAAGGTGCCACCAGACTCCTTGTTGTTTTTATATGGTTCATATGACAGTATTTATTGTAGTATTTTTAGCATTAATGAAAGTGCTACAGAACACTTTTTTATTTTACTGTTAAATCTCTATAGAAATAATTTTTTTTTCTAAATGTTTAAATAGGGACAATCTGCAGGCTTAATTCAGTCAAAATTTGATCTTCTGAATTTAATATAAATTAAGGAAGTCCGACGAAGTTTTGCCTGAAATGAGAACAGCAAAGTAAACCTCAAACCACTATAGTTTCTTGGTGACAATAGTTGCATCAGAACTTTAATTTTGCTAATGGTTCTTGCACAACCTTAGTTTGTATTTCTTCAAATAGATGCAGCCATGTATTCCACATAGGTATGTGCATGCCCAGTGCACCAGAGTTGGAGAGTTTTGCCTAGCAGTACTCGTAGGAGGCTGTGCTTGTGCTACCCATAGCCCCTACCCTGGCTATATGAGGCAGCACTGCCTCGACCTCCTAGGGATCTTGTAGAGTGAGCTTTTATTTCCCTGAAGAACAGGCCTGCCTGACCCCTTGAATGTCTCCACAATGCATAATTTGATTCATTTTGCCAGAGATTGTTTAGATGCTTTGAGGCCTAGACCTGGGGTGAATAAAGACAAACATTGATCCTGATCTTGTTTGATTCAGTACACTTTAGCTAGATCTTTACAAATAACCAGATTATGTCATCTTTTCACTGTAGGATTCAGGGATTTAGATAGAACTAAGGAAAGATTATTTGCTTTGAAACATGAAATGTGTTCACTTTCGGTACAAAGGACTCTATGAAAACTACTTTAACCTTATAGAAAATGCAGTATGGAGTTGCATGGATAATGCTGCAATCTGTGAAACTCCCCTAGCTAAGGTGATGGCAACAAGTTTTGATGGACAAGTTAAAGGGAGTGACAGATGTCAAAGGTTCAAAGGGGAGCTGTAAGCACTTGAAGCACTAAGAGCCAATCTCACTTTGGGGAAAAAGTGTTAGCCTAACAGCCCTGAGAAATCTTGAAACTAAGGAGCCACAGGATTTTCCATATAGGACGTTGCTGAGGGCAGAAACCTGATATGCTAAAGTGCTGGGCCAAAATTCTGTGTCCAAACCTTTGTAGAGCAAGATTAGGATAATTGGAATGCTTGGGACTCTGGGATTCTTAAACTATGTGCTGAATTGTGACCAAATAGAGGAATACCTCTTTAGAGCTGAAATCTGTCTAGAAGCCAGAAGAATATTTACTACTGTTAGAGAAAATCATATAGTCAGGAGTGTGCACAGGAATTTAAATTTGACCCCCTTTAGGGGGGTATGTTCTGTGCCCCCTGCCAAGGCCTGGGGTCAGAGGAGTGTGCTCTTCCCTCCCACCCACCCCCACCACAGAGCCGGAGCAGCTGTCAGCTCCCACAGGGGCTGGAGGAGCTTGCTCTCCCTTCTGCAGCCCTGGGGCTGGAAGAATTCTCTGCACCTGACTATTATTGGGGGGGCCCTGTTTGCCCTCCCCCCTTGTGCATGTCCCTGCATACAGTGTTTAGGAGTTCCTTTTCCATATCCATGTGGTCATTAGTAGACGGTCCAGATGTGCATGGAGAATGGGCTCATGGTATGTCCAGTCTCCCTGCCCAGTAAGTTAGGTCCAAGAACCATCTCAGCCACGTGAGTGCTAATAGTGACACATCTGCTAGTTCTTACCTTTTAAAAAAAAACACCTTATTTAACAAAACAAGGGCTGGGAATGCATAGAGCAGAGTTTTGGGCCATCTGTGGGCAAAGGCATCTGTGTCTAGAGATTGGGATCTGCATCTCTTGTGAAATACTGGTCTAGCTTCTCTGTGCCAATGGGTCCTCCTTCTCTTGAGGAAAATGTGTGTCTCTGTGCCAACGGGTCCACTTTCAGGTGGCTGAATCTGTTTGTTATTAGGCTGAATATCTTCTGGTTCAGGTTCCATTCTGATTTCTCTATGGATTGCCTGCTGAACTAGGCCACCATCTGGTTTAGTATTCCCTTTATATGAACCACTCTGATGGAAGCTAAGTTTACATCTGCCCCGGAAATTATCTCCATCATCTGTGAATAGAGTACTGGAACTTGAGTTTCTCACCCCTCGTTATTGAGATAAATTTCTCAGTGATGGAGGCATTAGACTGGACTAATATGTGGTCATTCATGATGTAACTTTGGACATTTCA